TATATATATATATTGATGCATATTCTCTCGCTTGAGAACGTGTATCACGTTGAAAAATAATCCAGTGCGCAAACAATTGTCAGTGCACAAACAAAGTCTCATTGAATATTTTCCCGACAGCACTCCAGCGCGCGGAAGTTCATTTTCGGTGTGTACTTTGTGGTTATCGTCGCGTTCGCTGCAGTCCTCATAGTGATCACCGTGTTGGCACCTATCGAGGAAACGTGGACCTCCTTCACCAACACCATCTCGAGTTACTGAGGTCGCTAATCAACGCCGTGGAAACATTCGTCTGTCGCTATACGATAATACTCGCGCGGAAGATTCCGACGCGGATAGAGACGACGATGACGACGACGACGACGACAACGACGACGACGACGACGACGACGATTCCCGCTGCGACTTTCTGTATGCAAATTAACTCAGAAGAATACGTGTAAATCTCTGACCCGTGTAAAGATTCAAATTTACTCGTGACATAGTGCAGACAAAGACGAAGAAATTGCCGAGCGACGCGGAAGATTGTTGGAGTGTTTTGTTTTTATTTTCTGGAAAAATCGATCGCGCAAACTACATACAGTCTGTACACGACGGTATACATTTATTGTGTTTTGTTTCTCGTTATTACTTGATTATTGTTTCTTTATCAAAAGTTTTGTAAAAATTTAAGTAATGTTTTTGTTTATAGAAAATACGCGCGTAGGTAATTTTGTATAATCGCGTTCTTTTACGGCTGTCACGTGTAATACCATCGCGATGTTAATATAATCGCGAGGATTAATAACATACGTATGTGCTCACAAAAGCGCAATCACCTGTGACGTTTTTTGATTCTTGTGTTTACATTTATATTGAAAACGGAACGTATATATTCGTTTACGTATACATATTCATACGACTACCGAATCAAATGATTGAGAGGTTGAAAGTACACATGTGTATTCGAGACCTCAAAACAATTGAGATAAAATCGGACGAAATGATTAATGAAGATATTTTTTGTCATTAATCCGCGATTTCATCAAACCACAAGGTAGCAAAGATAGAGTGGATGATACTGTATCATGTCATTTTATCGCAAGTATTTTTAGTTGTATCAGAGTATACATGCGAACAAAAGATAAAAATCTATTTTTGAAACTATTTAATAGGTAATTACAATATATTTTTGTATTTATATGTCGCACATTAATATTGAGTAATAATAAAAAATAATAATAATCGTCGGATTTCATTAATTTTCTTCCACATTTGCGCGTTAAATTCTCGCAATTTGGATTTTCAAGATATTATACAGTGTATAATACACACCACTTAATAGTTCGTCTTTATACAAATTATTTAAAAAAAAAACCAAGCATCCAATTTTTCAATTAAATTTAATTCAAATTATAATGTGTTCAATTTACACTTCAAATATTTCAAATACATCCAGCGCTCGGGTTCTTCCACCGGCTTTTCATTAATTTTCTCGTAGTAAAATATTTTTATTACAATTTAATAAAAATTTATGAAAATTAAATTTTGCAATTTAATCAAATCTAGAAGAAAATCAGCGAAATCGTAAAAAACCGTTCGTAAGCATAAGATTTAATTAAATAATCGCAGCTACATATTACGAAGTTTTTCTATGATTTCTTGTGTAAACGGTGCTTTTCTACTCTTGTATACATATAATTAATTATATTATAATTATTTATAATAAATTTACAAACACAGTATTAAATGTAGCTTTTTTAACTACTTTTGCTACTTTACGAACTTTTATATCTTACGTTGCTCTATTACTGGCTGGATCTCTATGAGCGATCGCGACCGGCCAATAATGGCGAATAGAGTAACGTTGTTAGCCTTAGCGTGACTGTTAATAACTATATATATATATATACACACACATACACATGCATAGTATTATACATACATGGACTCCGAATCCTGTCAATAACCATAAGATGGATTAGATAAACAAGTTTACCATGTCCGGGAATAAATTGATAGCATGAAAATGTATGGGATATTCATGAAAAGCGAGTTACACGCGAGCGTGTTAGTTATAATAAGATAGAAAAATTGGTTTATTATTCTGCGTGAATGTTGAAACGATGTTTCGTGTTAAAACAGCTGTTAAAACAATTTACTTCTTTTTTTAAACAATAAAAATGATTAAATAAAATACTTTATAATAATCAACTGTAAAACTCAAGTAATTAAAATTGTTTTCAATCTTTCATTTGCAAAACCTATAGTTTTGTAAAGAAAACAAATATGAAAGCAGAATTTTTAAGTTTTTCACCACTGTGCGAGTGTTGCGTTACACACCACTGGTAAAGAAATCAAACTTTCATGAAGGACTTACATTATGGAAATGTTTAATAGTGCGTAGTTTAATAACGAGTGTTTAATTAACAAAGTTAATAACGTGGGATAAATTAATTGAACGTGTAATGTATTTAGACGAGTGATCGTAACACGTCCATTACCAGCTCGCAATATCACGAGATCGTTCACAGATGTTTCAATCTGTCCCTTTATACTGTTTATTCGCCGCCTGAGGAATAATCGGAATGAAACTATCGGCTTTTCTGTTATTGATTTTTGACGCTGTTACGGCGATGTGATACATATCGCATGACACGGAATTTTTGCTGCTGCACTGCAGCAAAAGTTACGATCTTGCATGTGCCGCAATATTGACGGAGATATTGTGCGAGAACACGGAATCATAAAAAATCCGGCACACACACACACACACACAAGATTGCGATAGCCTCTGCGATAAAAATTAAAGAAAACAACGATGTGTCGCAACGTCGCGAATATAAACTGACACGATTTCGTAAATGCAATTTTTTTTAATGCGAAAATGAAACAAACGGAAACGAGTGTCCGCTGATTTGATTGATTATCATATAAGTGAAATCATTTTTCTATCGCGCGAAATCCCGTCTCGTAAGATTTTCGTGAAGATTACCCTTTCTTTATTATCCCCGGGATCATCCGTTTATCGTCAGGATTCTGCAGAATAGGTCATCCGGTTGAACATGATTAACTGTGAGGTGCTGCTGTTAACCGGATTACGTGGAACTTGAGTTTTCTAAAGTAATAAAGGAGAGCTCTACGAGCAAACTGATGAAATTCATAACGTCATGTACCGAGTGTCGCAAATAAACTAAATAATTAAAGAAAATACGATCAAAGATAATTAACATCGTGGAGAAGAAAGCTTGGGAAATTTGTTATTTTATTATTATCTCGAAAGATGTTTCTTCTTTGTTAATAATAATATAAAAAAAACCAAATACGGAATCATCATCGGTATATTGTATATTTTCAACATTCACCCGATTGTCATTATTTTTCGCTATGTGTTCGTATAAAGTTTATATACTCTTCGTACGGTCGATATCATATATCAAATAATAATTTTTATTGTATTGTTTTATAATAATAATAATTTAAAAATCAAACGACTGAGGCAACAAAATTGCAGCAAGTTACGAAGGGCATTGTCATAAAAGTTCATAACGTAATTATAAATATGAATTAATTTTTCTGAAATTTAAACTTTTATTTAAAAAAAACTATCGTATATAAAACCGCACAAGCTTTTTTCGCTGATTGATTTGTTCTTCTCATTTTTTTACAATTTAATTTAAACTGTCGTAAAAAGTATTAATTTATTGTTTGAACTTAGTAATCACTGACGTGTGCATTTCAGAAAGTCAGTTATTTAGTTTAAAAGAAAAAATTTGCTAATTGTGTAGTATAATGTAATAAGTTTGTGATATGAGTTTCCGGAGAAAAACTGCAGTCTAATATATCCCGAGCTGTAAATTAAAAGTATTATCTTTAAACGCGTTCTTTCTCACGAAAGGTCTAAGGTATATTCTCGTAATACACTCACGGAAATGAAAAACCGGAAACCCATGATGAAATAATTCAAGTGCTAGGAAAAAGTTACAAATGCGCGATATATCGCATGGAAAAACAGCGTGCAAAAGTTATTTTTAATTTACTGCACCGTTTCAAAACTCTCTCTCTCATGTTTAAAGGGTCGGTGTTAAATTATTCGCGCGTAAAATCACATGTAGATATGTGTTTAGACTCTAAAATCACTTTGATCTGTCGGTAAAGAGCCGATTATTCTTTTGATTAAACGCATTTTCACAGCGTGACATTAAATCTTTTGTTTAACATTTTCGAGTCTGCAACAATTTGAATTTTTAACCATTTCCCATTTTTGACAATTGGAAATTTGAATTTTGTAGCGCGCAACGGTCAATTTAGTCCTCAACTGGAATGGCGAAGACATTGCGCGTAACTAGAGCGTGCAGGTCTCTCGTGAACCCATCATCCGTTTTTGTGCTAAAAGTAGCAAATCCGTTAAAAGCTCATTTTTTATTAAATGTGCAAAAATTATATTATACATTTTCAAGAAATATATAAAACACATTTTGAATTTTTATTATCGCAGTTAAAGCACCAGAAAAAATAAATTTTAAAGAAATTTCAAGGAGATAATTTTGTGCGTGATAACGGAAATAAAAATTATACATATCAAAATGTATATTTATATGGTAATTGTGATACCAATTGTGGCTTTTCTTCTCTTTCTCTCTCCTTTCTTTAACTTGAAAAAATCCTATATTAAAAAAAGCATTTGGACCGAGAAGTGAGCGTTTTGGAGCCGAATGTATCTCATCTATTGTTGCCTCTTTTCCGCGTTGCCAATTGGTTGGTTGGTTGATCGAGTCGAATCGAATTGGTAAGATCGAGAGAGTAAATAATGAAAAGCGATTTTGAGACAGTTCGTCGTATATGTAGAGAAAATTAAAAACGTAACTAAAGTCACGTGACAGGAAAGAGTAGAAAAACAACACGTGAAAATAACGTGACTGTAATTTATATTATATATAACATTAAATAATACCTATTATACATATAATTTATTATATATTTATAATATTATACTTTATATTGTATTATATGTATTATATACATACTACAGTAATGTCATTGACTTCCGCCGCGCGACTTTGGCGGGGTCACTGACCTCGGCCGCGCGGCCTTGGCGGGGTCATTGACCTCGGCCGCGCGGCCTTGGCGGAGTCATTGACCTCGGCCGCGCGGCCTTGACGGGGTCACTGACCTCGGCCGCGCGGCCTTGGCGGGGTCACTGACCTCGGCCGCGCGGCTAGACACGTGACTAAAGTATATTTCTGACATATCTCTAATGTGTATTATATGGTTTGTAAGACGTATATACTAGCTGTCATCGCGGTGATAGTTTGTGTTCACTGACACTACACGTTATAATAAAAACAATAATAGCGTGCGCGTAGTGCGCGCTTGTGTTGTGCTAGTATATTAAAAAATGTGTGCTTATTCCAGAGAAAAATGTACAGTTTTGCATGCAATCGTGCTGAAAATTTATCTCTTTTTATTTTTACACAAAAATATTTGAGGTGCGTGACGAGCGCGACATACCCCTGACGACTACCGCGTTCCCGGCGCTACATCCCTGGGTCACCATCTCGCGCGCACCCTCGATCGGAAAACACGCATTTCCAGGTAGAATGTTTTCAGGGGGTTAGTAACGGCGGCGGCTCGGGGGAAAAAAAATGGCGGCGGCCGATCGAAGGCGGTGACGGTAGCGTTATGACGCATGCCGCGCGGCGGTGGTGGCGGCGACGGTGGTGGCGGCGACGGTGGTGGCGGCGACGGTGGTGGCGGCGGCGTCCCTCGGCGGCGCCACCGTCGAGCTACCCCCTCAGTTCGATTGAAGACACCGGCCGGCACCGACGGCCGTCGCGACGCTCCGCGGCGCGTGTGTGCGTACGTTCGTTTCGGACATCTCCCCTGTTCGCGTAAGGTGGAAAAGTCGCAAAATAGGAGTACTCAGGGTGAAGGCTTTTACTCTGCGACGAGGGAAAAGACACCGTTGTGCATCAGGTACGAGGAAAAATCGCCCTTCTGCGCTTTATTACCGGCACGACGCTAATCCGGGGGTCGACGGAATGATATGTACGAAGGGGTTGCGAATCCTAGAGAAACCGGGAATTTCGTCGCGACGCTATCAAAGTCTCGAGAGTTTGATTCGGTCGCGACGTTACGCGTCCGAACGTAGCGACCCGTTTTGAAGGGCAACCCTCGGCAAGAGAAACCGACGCTTTTTCTGCTATTGATTTCGGCCCTTCGGTTCCGCGGCCCGTGTAGCACGATCGCTCGATAAGTTACGTGTTCGCACGCACTCACGCACGCACCGCAGACGCGTACTTTCGGCGGTGAATCGAGCACGCGTAGTTAACTTCCATCGATCAAATTTTCCTTCCGCCTACAATGTGATTTTGACGGGTTATTCGTTTTCTTTCCTCGACCGTCTCGGTTCTTTCGGTGTCGCTTGCTTGTTGCTCGCACAGGGTGAGTCGAAGGGCAGATCGTTTCTAAGGAGCAAATTTCACGCTCAGTCGTGCGGATTATTCGGTGATTAAATGTGCTAATGTAACATTAGCACGTTATTAATGAAAAAAAAGTTAGTTTTTTATATACTGTATATACTGTCTCGTCTACATGTATAATTACTATATAAAATTTATATAGTTATAAACTGTGATATTTAATTATATGATTCATTAAAAACTAGATATTTTATTTGGCATTTAACACCTTTACTTTTAGATGCATCACGCTTGTTTTTATCGGATAATAATTTTTTGTATTAGCTACGTTAAAAAAATATCAGAGATTTAGAATTTTCTTGGCAATTATTCTTTTGAGTGTGCGACCATAACGCTGTGATTTTCATTCGAGCACGACTCATGTGTGTGTTAGATTTGAATATATTTCGCAACGCGGTAACAAATAGCAGAAAATTAGAGTCTGCGACAGAGGTATTTACCTCAATCGAATCGTAACACGGAACGGCTTTAAGCTGCGCATCGAATGACGTGCCGAACGTTAGTTTGTTAAGGGTTAAATCTGTTTGTCACCGAGTCGCTGGCTTAATAGTACAATGGTGTGTAACTTGATTCTCTTCTCTTTTGTTGCAATTTTTTTTGCAGTACAATACAGCGATATGCGAATCGTATCGCATGTAACAACAAAAAAAAAGAGTTCCAAAAATGTTCGACAAACCGTGTTTGCGCAAATACTAAATTATTACAAGCCGTACGGAAAACAGCAGCGGGTTTCATACGCATTGCATGCAATTATTCCATTTGTCCATTAAACACGGTGTGTATTAGTTCGTGAAATATTAGTGTTTAAATGCGATACTGCAAAACATGAAGCACTCATTCTTTGGCAATACGTGTTTAAACAACACGCATCTTTAAAATGCGCGATTATTAACTGTCATGTTTAATTATCGTGGCAACTTATTTTATTGGTTAATTAATGTTGTTTAAATAGGTAGTTTATATAACAGAGAATATATTGTTAATTTGATTTCGTATTTTGTATTCTCTCCGTGCGTACGCGTGTATATACATATGTTGCGACATATGCATTCCGTGAATTTAAATACGCGGCTTTTGTATATTTCATGAGAATATGTAATTTTATATGTAATTAATGTTTTTAATTTTGATTGCTAATTTAATAACTTGACATTTCGTCTTCTGCGCGCACGAGAACACACGTATTCGTTAATCGCATAAAATAAAACGTGTTGTTATTAAATATCTTCTCTTCAATCAACAAACAAAATGTAACCAAAAAGAGACAATCTATTTCGCGACGTGTAATTTATTCAAGACATAAACGAGGATATGAGCAATAAGTAGAGTCGTTAAAAATGAAATCGAGAGCCATTTGTATCGAAACTGTCCGATACGAGCATGGAAGAAATATTAAGACGTAATTGAGACTTCATAACGTAACGCGGAATAAAAAACCAGAATGGAATCGGTCATTTGTCGAAATTACAGAGCACGAAAACAGAGAAACAAATTTTGCAGAGACACATTTTCACAATAATTCGCTACTGACAGACACAATTTTCGAAATTTATTCATCTGTCACCTTCACGCGCTTTTCAAAATAACCCGATTTAATATCTCTCCGAATTGATATCCCCGGGTGTTGGAACGATTTTAGCGCTTGTTTTTTTTTTTTTTTTTTTTTTAATGTGTTTCCGTAATTTTACAATATCTCTTGTATGAGTTGGAGGAAAATCCTTTATTCATTCATCTTTTATATAAGTTAGTTCTCTTTTCGTAGCGTCCTTTTCGTAGAAAACGGTCGATTTAATCGAATCCACCGGAGATTAGAGATTAGCCGCATAAAATCCAATTTTTCTGCGGGCCAATTCCGCAGAGAATAAGATTCTTATCGCGGTCCCGCGCGCTTTTTAAAAAGAGAACCCTGTGACTCGTGCGGTTTTCGATTCCGCGGATTTTCGATCGTTTTCGACGATGACGTACGAGTTGAGAAAATATTCTCGCGGAACGAGGCGAGACGTTTCGCGAGATGTTCGCAAGTGCTGCCGCGAAAGACGCAAACAACATGGTTACGTGCGCAGTCCGAGGAATGGAAATTTCGCGGCCCACCTGCCGAGAGTAATCTTATCTGCCGCAACTTCGTGACACCAGCCGTTGACTTAAGCCGAAACGTCAACTATCGGCTGCGACAGTCGATATCGGAGGGGGTGCATCCCGCGCGTCTCCCCCGATCTCCACGCTCTAAAAGCGACATCCGGAGGATGCGATGTAGGTTGCCTGATATGATCGACAAACCGATTACTTAACTTTTCCGACAATTTCACGAGCCACAGAGAAAAGAAGAGCTCTTGCCTATTCCTGTTATTTCCTTTTCGCCTCCGCAAAATTAACATGTGCCTTATCCGCGGAACGTGTTATTGGAGTCTTAGTTTGGCAACCATATTACTTTTTGCTTAATCTCACACACATTACTGTGCAGATTTTTATATCATATCATAATACGTTGTAACGTTTTATTTTTAATATTAAGTAGAAAATGTTTTTTTATAAAATAAATATACGTCTATATATTTCCTCTCTTTCTCTCTCTTTTTTAACCAGCAACGGGATATATATTATTCAACCTAATAGTAATTCGATCTTATTTGATCTCGCGCGTATTTGTACAAATAATGAAACTTCCGTAAAATTTGCAAATACTCCCGTGCAAACGCTGTAACATAGTACGTACATGGCATACGTTAGTTTTAATTAAATACTTTTTCCAAACTTGTGTAAATTTCTCCGCTATTTCCGAAAAATGATGATTCCGATTTGAACTATGTTAGTTTCATTTTTGTTTCACCGACGTGTTGTGAACATTTCTCATCTCGCTTCATCAGGGTTCAAGTGCAGCCTGATATTCTTGGACTCTGATAAAGTAAACATATGAAAAATGATAATGAAATAACATTAACGATATAAAACTGACATCAACACGGGTCAAATTCGAAAATCAATTTTCAGGAATTCTCACAACATCCCGCGAAATCGTAAAATATCAAATTTTACGGAATTGTACACGGTATCATTTATATGTACATATATCGGATGAACGAGTCAATTTTCATATTTTATTGAAATACGAAAAATATAAATATGTGTATATTTGTGTAGAATGCTATATATATGCGCTATATATATAGAAATCTCTCATAATTTATAAAACGTCACGAGAAAACATGAAAAATTGAAACTGAGAGATGAAAAGCTCTTTTTATATCGCAAAAGAGACTTGAACTCATTTTTCGAATAACTCGATTTCAAAATTAACAGTCAATGGGACACTCGTGATTTGACAGGTCGGGATATTAACTTTTTACGTGTGTAATCTTTGCTTTTAACGAAGTCACGTGTGACCTCGGCGACAAATATCTCGAAAATTTAATTTCAACTTACCGAGAATTTTTTCCCCGCATTCGCGAGCGTGCCGCAGATGAAGAGACGGAATGGGTCTTGCGTATTCCGCGCGGCAACGCTGCAGAAACGGAAAAGAGGCGACGGTAACCCCGGCGATAAGCGAAAAAAACCCAATTCGAGGCGCGTTAATACTCGCGAATCTCGCAGCGCGAGTTAATCCGACGGAGTCGCCTTGCATTTTCCGCGACGACGCAAACAAACCCCCGTTTTCTCTCCAGTATCGCGTCTCGGGAGGTTCTCTCAACGCGAGCGAACAGGACGCGGGCGATTATATTGTATGTTCCTTCGTTGCGCGAGGAAATTTTCGAAGTGAGGAAAACGCACACGCCAAAAAATAATAAAAAAAAAAAAAAAAAAAAAAAAAAAAATTAAAAAATATGAAAAAGAGTGACACAAAATGTGACGGCGCGCGAGGCGAAAACAACCCCTTTGT